ACTGCTTTTTCGAACGTTCTAATTTCATTTTTTCAACTTTGAACGCGTATTACAGCAATATGGATAAGAGTACAGGAATGTATCTATACTTTAGCAGATATTTGGAAAATTGCTCACTGCTACTAATATTCGCGCCTCCACTTAGACTAGTCCACGCCTCATAGTTTTGAAAACGCTGAATTATGCAGTTAAAACGAACTACAAATGATGGTTGTTTTTCTACTAGTTTTCTACTTCTTTGAATCAAACAAATAATCAGATTCACTGTAAAAAAATGTTTTATAGAATACAAATATTTGTTTTGGAAAATGTTCATCTCTTAAAATGATTATAACGAAACAATAATTGAGCGTATAAATAATGTATGCTTCTTTTCAATTAAAAAGCAATTCAAGTTTATTACTTACCTGCATACATAGATAGATGTTTGTGTGATGAGTAAAATAGATCAATCACAATTACGTTGAGTGCCGTCCGATGTGGTGTGTGTGTTCGCACCGAATGGAATCGAGTTCATTGAATAATTTATCCACTAAAAGGGAAACAAAATGAAAATAGTATATACGTGTTTCCAGGATTCGCCAGACCCCAAAAGCTGTTGCAAATAAATTAACGCCGTGATCATAATTACTTCCGAACAAATTCCACTTCGGATTGATGCGAACATTTTATTTACTTCCGTTGAAACGATTCTGTAGCGCGTGTAGGTGCTTACATAAAAGTTTTATTAAAGCTGTAGACACGTGTACGAAGTTATACAAAGTTTTGGGTAAAGGCAATAAAAAGAAATAAAAACTGTCCATTTTTTTTTTATAATATAACAATGATATATTTACATATATAAGAATACAATATATTTAGCAAATATTACTGATGACAAAAATAGGGTATATAATATATATATATATTAGTCTGTGTATATTACATATTACTTTATAATCTACACTTACATAATCTACCATGTCATATGTATCATCATTATTAGTAGGTTTTGGGAATTAAAAAAGAGTAATTTTGTGCTAAAGCCGACAATCACAATGTTTACTAAATGTACACACATAGAGTAGAGTATAACGATTAGTCTTTTCATTATTTTTTTTTGTCCTTTCTTCCTTAGATGCATCTAAATGACAATTATCACATATAAATTACACACTGACAGTAAATATGATAGAAAAAGATTTTCTTTTTTTTTTAGTTGAGCATGGAAACATGAAAGCGAATAGTTTTTCCCACCTCGTCTCTCAATTCATTCTAATTTATCAACAATAAGCAACGTTTCTGTTTCTTAACTATTATGTAATGACTATAGAATTATATAATGTCGCTAAAATACCACAGTCCTTTGAGCAACAAAACAAATTTATTCTCGGATGGATATAATAAAGAGAGTACAGAAAAGCAACATAATTCGTTAGGCCAGGAATGCTGCTTCAACAGAAAATTACGCCTCTTTAAACTCCTCTCCTCTCCTTTCTTCTTATTATTTTTTTATCTTCTATCACGTCTTTCGCAACGTCTTCACAACTCTCTTTCATAATCATCATCATCATCGAAAATCATTAATTAACGAACAAAATCTTTGGTGAGATGCATACTCAAAGATGTTATACTAATTGACACCGCATTTCGCGTGACAATTACATTTTTTTGTTTTACTTATTTACGTTCATGTTAGCCATTTTGAGAAACAAAGATCACAATATTATTTATATTCATTATGTTAGATACATATTAACATTTATTAATATAATATTCCTTTTCCCAGTTATTTTTTTTTCTGCTTTGAATACACACGATTATAATGACATTATTTACTGTTATCTTGTTCAACAAACACGTTTAATGACATTTTTTTTTTATTAATTATTTTGTTTCGTTTGCCGACTAATTTTTTTTTTCACAGCACCTCCAATTACAAAAATTTCAATCAAACAACCTCCAATCCAAAAAAATGTCTTCTTAGTTTGTTCACCTGAAAATAATAAAAACAACATATAAAGTTTAGATACTACAAAAACTTAAGCAAAGTAAATTACTATCACATTATTGAAGTGCAGTTAATCGGAATTCCAATTACATATAGAACATTGCTTGCTTTTGCATGGACCGTTGAATACATTTGTCGATTCGCGACAAAGCATATTAATTCCAAAACGAATGAGTCGTGGACCAGCGAAGCATCATGTTTTATAGAGCAAATCGTAATCTGTGGGCTTTTACAGCAAATTTTGGGACAACTTCCAACTCACTTTCGGTCAACTTTCGGATTACAAGCTGGAATCGGTCTTTTACTCACCGCAGAAACTTTTCGCAACTTCTAACTTTCCATTATTTACCAAATGCTTTAGTTGTTTTTTTTGCTAATCTCTCTTTGCTGCTTAGTTCCTGTTTACACATGAAAACGTAAGTTGGGTTTCTGAGAATTTGGAGCAGCAATTCCATAAATTTTACTTTACTTTTATTAGAAAACTTGATAAATTATGATATTAATTTAAATTAACTCTGTATTTTTTTAAATGTATTTCGACATTCGTCAATTGTATTCATATTATCATATTTAATTAAAATTAGCCGTAATTGTTTTAAAAAGTATTTTTTTAATATCATTTCCGTCGTTGCGAATGCTTCCTTGTAGAAAAAGATCCTTGAATTAGCGTCCCTTTTCCGGCAACTCAGCAGTAACAGCTCAAACAGTATTGATTTGTCAAAAGAATTAAATTGTTTTCGCAGGTGCGTTACATAAATGTCATTATATTATAAAATGGGTCACCGTGCTCAATTTTTTTAAATACCTTTAAATTGGGCACTGAATGTATAGAAGCATCGATTTGACAACTGTTGATAGCTTTTATTCAAATTGGGCTGAATTTAATTCAATTTGTGGGATATTTGAGCGGAAGGAATATTTCGTGTGTGCCTTGAAATAGTTTTGGATGCTATTACCTGCTATGTAAACAGCTCAGGCTGATTGGCAATGCTTCGGAAAATCCTTCGGGGATGTGGCCTGGTATTGATTCGGTAAGGGTGTACCATTGAGCAACAGGTTTTCTAGCATTGTCCAACATTTCAAGCCAATGGTCTTTCCCAACACCTATGAAATTCGATCCTATCGCTGTGCAACCCATTAATTCGTTCGCGCCAATCCTAAATCAAACAAATCAATCCATCATTTGACTAAAGTGCTGATGCGATTCACTCTACCTATCGTAGTCTATGACTTTGACGATCAAACAGACGTCTTCGATATTTTCAGCTGGCACATCGAAAACCAGAGCCTCATTGTACACTGGGCAGAGGGTGTTCCGTTTTACCGAAGTTTTCTTCTTTTTGATCCTCTTCCCCTGGCACAGCAAGTACACTTTGACGTACGGGTCTGGAATTACAAAAAGTTAATTTATTTACCAAAGGCTCGAAATTACTTCCAACCTGATTTCCCTGTTATATCCATCGCTTTCAAGTTGCGCCCTTTTATTATAGTCACTGTTAATCTCCCGGCCGTCGGCAAGTAGCACAGAGATAGCATTAATTCTCCTAGGTCGACTTTATCCTGCGGACAATGGTTTAATTAAATGCTATTGCGGCATCAACATATAATATATATATTTGCAATACTACAAATGTTTCAATATCCGGTTTCGTAGGGGCGCGCCGAATGCTCGCTCTGTCCAAGGTCAGGTACACCCAGACGACCTATTTTCGGATGCTCGGATGTAGGTCAAGGTTGGAAAGGGAATTCAGGGAATCAATTTGGGAAGAAGCGTCGCCCGGAAAAAGGATGATGGCTTCGCTGCTGTATTGTCAGAGCAGGCGTTTTTTCTTTTTCTTTTGTGAATTACCTGGGGCGGACACAGTATATTCATTGTGTACTCCATTTCCTGTTGCAGATCCGTCGACTCAAGGAGACCCTTTAGCACCACGTGTCCGATTAGATCGTGCCGGGAAAACCGGTCGAAATCGTATACAGAAAACTGCAAATAACGAACACGCAACTCCTCATACGAAACACTACAAAAACATAAACAAAATTGCATAAATTAGATAATTTTGAAACCCCACATTAATAAAATATATTATGTATAGTGAATTGATGATGTATAAATTATATATAAATACAAATGGATCGTATTATTACATTTTTCCAATCTTGTCAAATAAATATAGCTTATTACGTTATTATTTTTCTCTTTTGTTTGTTTTCTTTTACGATTTCAAGAAGGACGGGGAAATAATCAAAAAAAAAAAGAAAAAGGAATGAGAAACTGGATGTTTAATAATTCAACGCATCTCTCCTCGTCGTTACTACGATCGCTTTTGCGATCGTGAATCTGTATAATAAACGAGCCACCCTGTCGTTCCATAATTTAAACCGTTCTATATCCTCTCCGCTTCCACCCCCTCTAATCGAAAAGCAACTTTGACACATCTCAGGTTTCATAAGCCTATTAGGTTTCGCGTGTTTTTGTTGCTGCCTCCGGCAGCGCGCCTAAAATTCCTCCCCATGCACAAAAGGGATTATTATTGCCGCCGTCTTCTTGTAGTTCTTGCCCTCTTAATCCAAGGCGCACGTTATTAATAAGACATATTTAATATGATTTTGATTACCTGAATATGAAGGTCTCGTTGAATACGGGATTCAGATTTTTCCGATGTACCTTTGTTTGGAATTTCTTTTTACGATCGGGGAGCAGATAAATCTTTATGTAGGGATCACTGCTGCCAGTTACGTCCTTTACCGGCAAATCTCTACCCTCGAATACCTTGAAAGAGAAAAAGAAATGAATATTAACGAGGACATCCTCCTACAATTGTATTTTTCAAACACAAAATAATAATACGAATAAATAAGAAGTTACAAGCCGTGCACGCGCTGTATTGATTTCATTTTAATTTGGAAGTTATTAATTGTTATTTCTGCATGAATCGTTTTTACTTTAAATCAATTCAACCATTAAATGTGTATTTATTTATTTATTTATAAACTTTATTGAAGAAAATATATAAATTTTCTTCACACATTTTGTATGTAACTCTTTGATGTCGCTTATTGATTTTGAAAGTTATTTGTTTCTATATATTCATAACCGTTTAAACGAAATCGTTCATACATTCATGTGAATTTTCTCATGCTAAAATATGTTTTACGAATCGTCTGGCAAATTGAGATATTGACTTTCGACATCTTCACTCGCACTTCACATTATTCTTGTAGTAGTCTGGTGGTGTGTAATTAATATAAATGGTAGACTCAAGATTCTCCTATTTAATTAAGTGTCTGCAAATGGCAAGAGGCGAGATTTCGGTACCCGCGGCGAATTTAATGAAACATAAACATTTTCGAGACATGCCTACCTTCACGACGAGTCCTTCTACGTCCTTGTCGTAGCGCAAAGAAAAATGCAGTATGCCGCAGAATTCCATCTCTGGTCCTGCCGAATCTGCAGACGATTGACGAACCAACTCTTTCTTGTACAACTCAGGCTGTAACAGAAACATATATTTATATATACAGGTATTCCCCGACTTACGAACAAAATTCTAGAAGCTGTAACTTGTTGCAAGGAGATATTAACTGTCCAAGCAAAAATTGATAATTTCTTTAATAAAATATAATATTTTTGGAAGATGTATTAAATAATTGTGATAAAAAGTATTTTGTTTATTTTAATCTATTTTTTCAAATTTCTGCAGTCAGTAATACCGAATTTAACATTTATAAAAGTAAAAACCATGATAAAGTGTGGTAAGAAAAGTATATTTTGAAATTTTTAAATTCCCCTGATTTACGAACAGCCTTTTAGAATGGAACTTTATTCATAATTACAGAATTCAAACGAAGAAATTCAAGTTAATAAATAACTAGTTTGGATTATTATATATTTGAGATATTGATATTTGTAGGTGATACATTTCAGTCAGATGAAAAATAATTAATTATTTTCTCAGTGCGTATAAATAACGGCACATGACAGATTATTTAATACTTCGTAAAACACCCACCTTGGGGAGAATATTAATTAGAAACTTGTCAACAATTAGTAATTGTATCGCACGCGCGTTGCGAGGAAATTGTTTTATCGAGTCGAGCTTATTAAATAAAATATTTACAAACGAAATTTAACAAACATCAAAGAATACTAATAATGTATGAAATCTTCATCAATTTTAAATTTTATGGTATAAGGAGTATAAAGAAATGCAATATTATTATCAAATATTATTGGATTATTAGATTTATTTATATGCATACATTGCATATATGATCAATAATTTAGTAAGATAAAAATGGATTGAAAACGTACGACATTAATTTTGTTTATGAGAATCAGTGTGTAAATTTAATAGTATTCTGATAACGCCGTGCCATGAAAAACTGTAAAATTTACTAGCAATTATATATACACACATAAAAATATGTGTGTTTTATTTGATCCAGATTGAAACGATTATTATTTGGATTGGCTACAGCTCTTACACAGATACAAAGGTATAAATGTGTTTGATTTAACTTTCGCTCGGTTAAATTACATTCCAGGTTGGAACCCCTCCACAATTTATTTAATGTAGGTAGCTGGATTTTTAGTTGATTAAGTTAATGCTGTCTCCTATAATACCTTAATATATTTCAGATGTCCGTTTCCGAAAAATGAATCCTTTATTTCTGCAATTATCCAAAAAATAATTAATCTGTGTGGCAAATAAATAAATAAATTCTAAAGTTTGCTTTACAGATCAAAAGGATGTTTAGTATATGGGAATTTGTCTTTGATATCATTTATATTTACAATTTTACTTTAATTAAAATAAAATTAACAAAACGAAGTTCCAGTTTTAATTGGAAATAACTTATTTTTTAATGAAAATACTTTGATTATTGATGTTTTTCTGTGATTTTGTTTTTGTTTGTTTTTGGATGTAACCGGTTTCAAACTGTCTGTGTTATTAGTAAAACAAATTACTGTATATTTTTTAATAAGAGGATCACATTTTCTTATATCTCTGCAACAATGATGTACTTTTACGTTTTAAGACTTTTTATTCATAAAAATATGAAATATTAAAAAATATAATTGTTATTTTTTCTTGGTTTACCGAAATTTTTCTATCCGATGTAATGTTATAAAAGATATGCGTGCTTGAAGGAAATGTATATAATGTAATTTTATATGAAATGGATATGATATTACTGTGGATGTATGAATATATAGCAATTGCAGTTACAATTTCGTTGGCTGTAACAAGATTGATGCAAATTGAATTCAGAAAACGAAGCCTCATAAGGATATTGCGTTTTTTAGATTTCACCAAGTAACATATCAAAAAAAATAACAAAAACAACACGATATATAGGTCATTTAAATGGAGTTAGACAAAAACAAAATAAGACAATGCCCAGTGTGTATTTATTGAATGCTGAAATGTGTACCTTTATCAGTCCGATAAGGCTAGATTCGCTTTTATGCTCGAGACTGCAGATGCTGAATTGAATCGTTGTCGGCATTTCCAAACGGTGGGACAATTGCCTCTGAAACGTCTGATGTCTGGTCGGTACAATTGGAAGAGTTGTCTGTCGCAGCACCTAAAATCAATAAAAAAAAACAACAACAAATAAATATACATGTTATAGTTTTATAGTTATAGTCTTTATAGCTTATTGATTGAATATCATTTAATATTATAGCTTGTTATTCTAAATATTAAGAAATGGGAAAAAAATAAACTTTGGTCAAGTAAATTTTTACTTTTACCACAATTTGTATATGTATCACTTTAGTTATATGTGTTATTATGTAAATTATTGAATGCAAAACAAAAAATGCTTTAAATGCATTTGTCCATTTTCTTCACAATTTATTTTATCGTAATGAAAATCAAATGGAATTGAAGTTACGTACATGAAATGTATCAGTGTTTTAATTAAATCGATGTTCAATTCAATTGAACTCGATACACAAAAAAAGAGAAACTTTGATATCATTTTCCCATTCCGAAAACGTATGTCGATTTCATCTCCATCCTGTGTATATGTTTCACGTGGACATACAAATCATTATCAACATTTCATAACTCGAATGTAGCATGAATTGTGTATACACGGTGCAAAGAGTGATATTGTAAACCACCAGTTGTTACATACCTAGGGGCCGTTCGGAAATTAATTTTGTATAAAAACCGTGGAAACCGCACCAGAAAAATTTCAATTTCTTCTCAAAACAAATGTAATTGAATTTTCCTCGTCCTTTTCAATTTGCACACCATACATTAATCAGTGAAATTACTCAGCCAACTAATGAGAATTATGTGTCTTACTATTAATAAGTTTACTAATTAAAGTGTGCTGTGAATGCGATTAAAAGAGAATCGTATTCGTACAGTGTGATTCTCTTTTAAGGATGTTTGATTTCTGTATTCGGAGAAAATAATTTAGTGCTGTTTGAAATTTGATATCCTTTGCATGGGTTTAGATTTCGTACAGTCAAATGAATGTAATTTATCTGTTGCAACGTCGTGTGAATTATTCATGAGATACTCTTCAGACTCCTTGTTTTCCTGAGACAAAGATATTTACCAGAAACATGCCTTGTGTGCAACACGTAACAAATATTAGTTTTAGTAAAAGTAAATAATATAATTCAGAATTAATTAGCAATTTATACCATATTTATGTAATTAAGCACTGTTTCTATAAACTAAAGAAGTGTTTTTAATCTCGACTTATACTTGAATCTATACTTAATTCTGACTTCTTTGTAAAATAATTTAATTTCCCGGTTGAAAATTTTCTCGGGAAAAAAAACGTTTAACTAATGAAATTTATTGTATGTTCATACTGTGACCGCTTATGTAAAATGTTTTCAGTTTACATTAATCTGATGGATTTTAGGTATGCATTTATTTTAGTTTAAAATTCACAATTATTTCAATGTCAACATTTCGATCTGATTTATTTAATACAACAATAGGAATTTATAGTATGCAAATGAACTGTATTAATAGTAAATTTATATAATTACAAAGTGGATACAAATGTTATGCATAACAAACAGTCAACTTACATTGCATGCAACATGCACTGTACAATCGTTTCTTTTAATAGAAATTGCATAAACGCATATAAAAATAAACTAATGTATTCTATTAATTATACTACTTTATACTTTTTTGTTGCTGTTGCTGTTTAGTATATTATATTTTTATGTGTTACACGATATTTTTAGCGTGTGCATGAGTTTATATGTGTGTGCGAGTGTGAAGCCAAAGTGGCCATCCATCTGCAATAAATTCGCGTTTAGTAAGTAAAAAGGTGCAAACAAACAAGTTTAAAATAGAAGTTTCATATTCATTATTTGAAGTATTTACTCACGCTCATTCGCCTATCTTAATTAATTAATTAATTAATTAGTACAGGCAAAAATATATGCATGTACCCATATAAAAGATAACTATAATCTCGTAATGGGAAAATTTTAATAAAAATATTGTTTGATTATGATTCGTGAGGTGGTCATAAAAGGAATTATCGCACTTCGAGTAAATGACAAAAATTTTTGGTGCCATAAATTAGGGCGAACACAATTTTATCTTCAACAAGTCATTAAAAAACTTTTCTCATTTTTTTTTTATATGAATAATTGCTTCGAAAACATAGCAAGTTCTATCAATTTTATGGGCAGTTTAGATCCATGCATGTCGCTTCGTTCGCAAATGGATAAATGGAGACACTTTAATTGTATTTTAATTAAATGGAAATCGCTCAGGCGTTTATAACAGCTATTCAATTAAACAAAAGAAATTATACTCAACAGTTTGTTAGAATTTATATCTTTTTTTAATGTAATTTCAAATGGTTTTGATCATGTTTTTATTTATTAATAATATAATATTAATAACAATTACTAACATAGAATTATATAACAACTTACTAACAAAAAGACGTATGAATAATTGTAAATCAATAAGTAATAGTTCTATTTTTAAATCTATTGCTTGTATTGAACGAGTATAATGTGTAGTAATAATTGTATGCACTTATTTTTATGGATTTCATCGATGGCACAACCTTATACATATTCTTCAAAGTTACGTACTTTTAAGTGGACTTTATTTTTCAATTTTATTACGTTCAGAAAATAAAAAACGTCTCAATCTGACTTGAATACAACATAATTTAGCGTATATTTGTACAATATTCTGAAATAAGCCTTACATTTCGTGCTTTCCTTGGTTGCCAAACATAAATGAAGTCTAATATTCCCATTTATTAGGCTGCCATAGAGTTAATACTAATATTTAACTGAAAAATAATATCACAAAACTTATATGTATCACATTTATAAAAAGTGGTTTGATCTCTTTAGAGGTTGAATCTCTGTGTCACTTACATGAAATTATTATAAACAATATTATTATGTTCCTTTGGTTTATATATAAGATAATATTCAATATTGTAAGCTAATTGAAGTCACTGCAATATAATCAATAATAATATACTGGTAATATTAGATTACTTAATGGAAATATTGACACTGTGACATTCTGGATTTCTGCAAATTCAAAACCTAGGGGACTTTCGTTGGGTTTGTTTGTTTGTTTTGGTGGAAGCATGTTGATGTAGTCCCTAGATTAAATTTGGAGGCTGCGAGCGTCCGCGTATGGAAAAGCAACAAGCACCGGGTGAATATACGAAAAGGATTTGTGTGCGAATAAAGTACGAGATATTGGATGCACGGAGGTTTGGCAAATGGCTGTGATGGGGGATCTAGGGAAAGGAGCCTGGATTAGGATGCAGCGGTTCCATCTCGACACGACGTATTTTATTTATATCAATATCTTTACGTTCAAGTCAACAACCTAATATTTGAAAATAATCATTGTTCATCGTTGTTTTTATCAATTAAACATTGAAGAATTGATCGACTTGTCATGGATGACACATGTGTTTTATTGTAAGATAAAATCCTCGCCCAATTGAACTGCAACCAACTTAAAACTTCCATAACTTTTGAACCGTTGGCAATGTTGTGTCCATATTTCACTTAATGATAGCTGATTTTATTGTTTACAAGCCTGCGGAAGCATTTGCATCTCAGTTTTTTTTTTAAGTTATCAGTGATGGATTTTTTACGTAATAGTGTGATAGCCCAATATTTGAGCGGAAAACCAAAAGTGGCTTGATGTGAATAAATCTTTCGTGTCTCGAAACATAACACGTTATAACGAAGCTAGTAGTGTTACAAAATGCTATTTTGGTGGTCGGAAATAAACTAAATTTGTGGTAGAAGTGGTTCAGAAAATTAAGGCTCGAATTGAATGAAATTCGCGACGCAGTGGAAGACAAATGGCTACAACAAATACTCAAAATCGAACTCAAAGTGAAGCCTTACAAGTTTCAAAAAAGGACAAAATCTCACCGAAAAATTTCCCAATTGAGAATTGAGAAAAAAAAAAACAACAAAAATGATCGAATTTAATTAGAAGAGAGATCAAACAAAAATTTAGACATTGGAATGACCACAAGAAGTCAAGTACCACCGTTTGTAGTAGTTTGGGAGGCTGTGACGGACGATAATCGCTCTTGTGTTTTGTTTTTGAACCGTGGCTTCAAGGTTAATGCGAAAGTCTACTACGAAAAAGTTTTGGAAGATGTTCTGAAGCCGTGGTCAACCAAATATTTCAATCAGAAAGAGTGGACGTCTCACACAAATCACACGAAAACCAACAATGGCTGAGAGACAGCGTTCTGAAAAGTTGCAGTTCAATTGGGCCACCCTTTATAATAATATACTTTAGTTTCTTTTAAAGATTAGGGCGGTTTCAAACAGTGCGGTTTATTAACGCACTATTCGAAGTATTTATGTACTGGTGGCAATAATTCTACATAGTCAATACAATCGATAGTTCAAAATCAAACTTTGTTAAAAAGAGTATTAATGTTATTATAATCTGTATAGGCTAAAAGAAAAAATCGCTCTGACAAAAAATTCTATCTAAAACTTGTATATCTGGTAATCTTTTTTAAAAACTGAGTAATTTATATAAGTCAGTACAAATACTATGATTCATATAAGAACAACATTTCTTATTGGAAAGGACATATAAAATTATACTTTATTGTCGATAAGAATTTTATCATTTAAATATGAATAAATGTGCTGTATTTCTGGAGATAAACTGTGTATATGATTCTACCCATAGTAGTAAATCGGATCAAATACATATCGATTACGTTGGACGCAATAAATTTTCAGATTATTGTGGATTTACTTGCTACCCATTTCCGTGGCTAAAATAATCCCACTCTATTATTATAAATGCTCAATTCACATATAGGAATTTGGCAATCCAAAATTGCAACAAATATTCGTTGAAATAAATATTGTTTATTGACATACTTGCAATGATTTACAGTTAATTATAAATAATTAATGTACGTATTTTTATAAATATTGACTGAATTTTATATCGTGGAAAAGTTCAACAAATTAAAGAAGTCGTAAATGCTGAAACTGAAGTTTATTTTTCATTTGAATTTCGTTGGTAATAAAATATAAGACGAGTGGTTTATTACAGGACGGATGCGAGAAATTATTCTTTCGCCACTTTGCTCATTCCGGCAATTCGAAATATGAAAAAGTAAAACTGAAAAGACGCGGTTCCCTAGCGTAGAAGCGAAGATTCCGTGGAAAATTTCCACAGCGTATATATATATATATATATATATATATACACATTTAAAATTGCCTTAATAAGTTTTTCCCTTCGTCTTGGTAAATTAAGAGAAATCTTCAGCACCGCCAACGAACGAATGCATATCAAATAAGCGAAAACATTGACGGATTGCGCTTCCGCTCGCTTGTTCTGCTCTACAGCTTCTGAAAATTTAATCCGATTCCACGAATGATACATTTTAAAGGAGACCAATAGTGATGGGTTTCAAGGGATTAAAGATTTATTTCACGGCCGTTCGTAACTGGGTTGCGCCACGAGTCTTCGTAATTCCTGCTAAAACGTAATTGCAAACTAATTCGAAGTTGTTTCATTACGTTTATCAAATTTAGATTAGTTAAAATTTTATCGTCTTCTTAGTGTACTTAACGAGTGAATATAAATGTTCTTCTAACACATTCTAAATATCTTATGGGATTTTATAAATTATTAAAAAAATAGTTCCCAAATGTAATATTTCAGTGTTTTTAACCCTTTGTTACCTGTACATAGATAAATTAAAAAAAATAGAGATTATATTAATATTTCTTAAAGTATTAATTTTATTGTTTTGAATGAAGAAATTATGTTTCAAAGTATATAATTAATTGCTTTATTTCAAGTTTCCGTACCTTTTTATTATCTTTGTGCTCCTGCACGTACTCTTGTTTGAGCGGCTCGGTTTGAAGGTCTGGCAAAGAATGGCTTATCCTTATCGCGGTCTGCTTAGTGCTAGACGAATCCGTTTCTGCGTAGTCCCTGCACGTTTTGTCCTTGATCCAGCGCCAAGTCGCTGCACATTGGTAGCTCATTGCGGCGAAAATTACCAAAGCCATCACCAGGACCACCGCGACACTCACCAAATTATAATACAATGTTGATTCCCACTGCTCTGAAACAAGCGAGACATAATTTAAACTTACAGCAGCACTTCCATAGCTTATGTTTGCGAAACTACAAAGTACATGTATATCATTAGATATGGTTGATAAAACTAAAAGTTATTTTACGTTGATATATAAACTTTAAATTAGGTACATCCCGGCGCATGCACTATAAAAAATACAATACAAACAAAGTTTGCGTTCTTTAAAAATTCAAATATTATGTAAAAATATCGCCCAGATTGAAACAATCTAATACAAATAAGAAGGTTTTTCTGCACAATGATATAATTGCTTTTGAATTGGAAATATCCGTTTTGTTCATTCGAATTAATTGCTATTATTAGAACACTTACAATCGTTTTAATTACAAAATATAAACATTTGTTTGAATGAATTTAATATATTGTTGAAAACATGATATTTTAACAAAAGTTAATGGAAACAAACCAAAGTTAATAAAATAAATTTAAAACAATTACAAAAATTGGTGTATTATCAAAAATTGTAAATTCATCTGCTATTATTTTGTTAAAACAAATAATAAATTACAAAATGAATAACAAAATGAATAAACTCAATACAATGATTAAAATAAATTCTGCCCTGAAAACAAATATTTTGCATGTGATTCATGAACATTTGCATATTAATTTTTGCTCTTGTCAAATAATTGTTATAAAATAAATGTATTTGAAATAAATTGGATTATAAATGTTTAAGTAAGTTGAATACAGAGTGTTATTGTTATTTAATTAATAAAACATATTATTAAAGAAAAGATTATAACACACACCCCAATTCGCACGCACCTTTTTTGTAGAGAAATCAGTTTATTTTATATATAAAAGAAGGTGCGTCTTTTGGTCGGATAAATACGCTTTCGTATGTGAAATATGAATGAAGCAATTCTTAATTACATTCAAACCCAGTTATTGTTTTATAGAATCTTTTTTGTTAGTATTTGAGTGAATGCGGAAATGTATCAGTAGTGTATTAGTTACAAGTTGTGCGCGCAAATGCACGGGCTTGCATATTTAACGAGGTCAGACGAACGGCAGGACCGCGATGTTCCTGCAATGGTCCAGATCCTCGTTGGTCGGTCCTTTCTTTCTTTCCCACCGTTGAAAGTGGAACATGTGCCGCGACATCCGCGTTAGAGCAGTGAGTAAAAAAGGATAATTAACTAATAAGTGGCCCGACGTAATGGATTATGCTAATCAACGTCCTCGCGTACACACGTTACATAAGATTTATGTATCCATCAGCGCTCGCTTTAAATATAATTACTCGACATCGCATCGCACGCAATTACGAGACAAATAATTATAATTTGCTCGTCTTTTGTGTGTGTGTGTTTTTTTTTTATTGTCAGCCAGTTGTGTTAGTTTCAATCACGGATTATGCGTCTTGACATTCTATATTTCGCTACAAATATTTGGTCAATACTCTTGCTCGGACAAACAAACAAACGCGTTTACTCACGTTTATATCTAATGATTAATCTATAGAGATAAAACAAACAATAGCAACAGGTTAACAACCCTAAAGATTTTATCATAATATTTTCAATGTTTATCTTCTTTCAAGTAATATGTATGAGGTTCATAGTTATATCGGTTTTATTTCTGTGTCTAGTTTAAATAATACTTTTGTGCGATGGATGTACTCAAATTAAAATAATAAACGAAAATATGTAAGTTCAAATTTATATATTTATTTTATTACAAAAGCAGATTATATTTACACATATACTATTGGTAAGATAATTTAAATAGATCACATTCACAAATAATTATGTAATGATACAAATCATATCTTATTGTTTATATTAAGATGTGTTTATATGAGATCTATTTATAATTTTCGATTGAAACCTACCTATAATTTCTTAAATTATTATCCTTAAGAGTTTACAGCAACAAGTAAATATTATACATTTATTATAATTGAATTCATCGTTCTGTTGCATTCATATACTAGATTTTGTATAATATACTGATTTATTGTAACAATTATTGGATGTCATCATTTTTTGTGTGACATTCGATATGTCTGCATTAACAATGACAAATGGATTTTGTTAAATTTTCTGTTTGCTAATACTAATTTAAAATTTAAATTACTTCTAAGAAACGAAAAACATCATCCTATTTAATCGACATTTACGTTAGTTTGATATTCCTTTGTACTTTTACCAATTTCTGAGTAGAAGGAAATAAATGCGGTGACTAATTTGTAGAATTCCCTGCGGGGTTCCAATCAAACGATCCGTGCAGACGATTTTATCGACCCTATCTAATATTCGCTTTCATTTTTACTTGAATTCATTCAAATTTATTGATCAATACAGACTTGAAATAATGAATACATGTTAAAAAAATAATTAAAAATATGAATTCGAATCTATATTGTATAGTACTAATAGACAAATATAAACTATTGAAGATTTTATTAGATTTCAGAGTTTTTTTTGAATAAAATATAAGTCTAAAGTTGATTGTAAATACTTTTTCCTTTATGTTTTATCAAAGGTAACTTTAACGTTACTTTTCTATTTCTGTCATTGAAAATCTGATTGAAAATAATGTTTTTGTATTAATTTGGATATATATTCCAAATTAATACAAATAAATCATTTTTTTTAAATAAATCATTTCAATTTGAATTTTATTTACACATGTTTCAGTAATAAAATGCAGATGAAATATGGATATTACATGAATCATACTAGAAACATATATACTGTATGCTGTTTTATATATTATATTACAAGCCATAAAACGGTAAAAGCGCTCTTTGGAAACCCAATATTGAAATAAAGTGTTTTATCATGTTGTGGTGTCACGTTTCCAGACGAAATTAATAATGAATGCTCCAAAATTACAAAGAAAATCAATTCATTTACGTTAAATAATTTCAAAATTAATATATTCTTAATTAATATTCAATTAGTTATAAAACATTTTTTTTTGTTATATTACATTTATGTTGCAAAATAAAATACCCTTAACGCGATATAATCATTATTGCCTGTTAAAGAGTCGTTTATTAATGAAGGTTTTATGTTAGCGATGAGTTATTGCCATACAGCAGCATCATAAAAAGTGTAGTTATAGGTACTAGCTACAGGATCCTGCCCGGTCTTGTATTACACAGGAATATTATTTTTTTTCACGTTTCATTTTAACTTGTAGCACTGTGTAATATTTGATAAATGGATGAAGCTGTTGCGATTTAATGAATTTGTGCTTTTTCGTTTGCTTTTTGCAGCCTGTCATCAAGTTCTCGGTGTACAAACACAAAACAGATTCGCAATTTTTAATCACTTTGATAAATTCATTTTATCTTTAAATTTGTAATATATTAACACATTGTCGTGGCCGACCATTTTATTATCATCTATTGTATAACTAATATGCATATTTGTTAGGTCTACCACTTTCCTCTTAATTATTACAAATCATATTTAACGTATCCATCAAATATACAAACGGATACTTGTACGTGATTATTTAGAATAACTTGTGGAATATTCCGAACGACGGTTACACATTAAATCGTATAGTTGCATCTCTTGTATCACCACTTAACAGCCTTCTTCCGCCCCTAAATATTTGGGTAGGATCATAAAACTGAGATAAAGAGCCTCAAAACTAATTTCCTTACCTCCCACACAGCCCCTTTTTGAAATGAACACATTGTTGTATTATATAATTTTGTCTTAGTCAGGGGATCGAACTGAGAGGAAGTCTTAGTAAGAGGGTTCAACGAAGAACATGGTCTTACTTGGGAGAGTCCAAGGAAGAGCACTTACTTCATAAATACTAACTTAAGAGGAGAATGTAACTTTTAGTAATAATCCCTGAGATAAACTATTGTATAATTGACTTCTCAATAAAACTCCAATGTTAATAATAAATTTAATTAAGAATATTGCATTTAATATTCGTAAGTCTTAGAGGGTTAAGTCTTAGAGAGACGCAACGACATAACTACGAGAAAATCCACGGTGTCCAAGGATTTCTTAATCCCGGGACACGACAATATATTAAAGGCGCCGCAAACCGAAAAATTTTGTTTTTTTTTTATAATATTTATATTAAAAATTAAAATTAATAGTATTTTGTCGGTGATTTCTAATGTTTGTAGTATATTAGTGAAGGATTGATTAAAGCGTTAACCCCGTTTCCAGTCTATAAGACTGCACAGATAGCATCTCAATGAAAAGCGGCATTAATTCCAAACGATTTACCTTTTACAAATTGAGTCGTTGCATTCTTAAGTTATTCATCCATACGATATATGCGAAACACTGTTGATTACGTCTAGGCAATTCTTTTCTACTAGCTTTTACTTTTTTTTTGTTATAAATTCATACATATTACTTTATTATAAACAATAAGTATATGTGCACTAATACTATATTATATGTTTCATATTACTTTATATTATATACAGTGGAACCTCGCTTAACGAGTGACGATGAGAAGAGAATTCCCGGATTGTGCGTCTTCTACATCATTTGCACACAATTTGAATATATTAACCATCTTCCATTTCTTTTGTCATCTTTGTTTAAAACGGACTATACTTTGCAAATATAATTTGTGTTTGCTGTAAATGCAATGCTGTAGTTACATCTTAGTGTTGTTTGTGATCATAAAATTTCCAAACTTGTATTAAGACATGTTATTTGTGATTTTTTTTGTGCAAAATTTAATAACACTTACAGAAAAATCATGAAAAATTAAGACCATGGAACGTGTTTCATTATACGAGTAAAAATCGGGAAATTTTTGAATTGAATGAGGATTAAAGTCGTTAAGCGAGGTTCCACTGTATTTAGTTTTTTTTTAATATTGTTTTTCTTTCTTTATATGAAAATATCAATATGGTTATTATCCCACCAACTGTTTTAATAAAAATTAATGGAATTTGTTATCTAACGAAGCGGCACATATTGTTGCTGGATGACATCATTTAGGAAGTGCAATTAAGTAAATTGTTATCAACTGTATTTTATCAAGATTACCATGATCATATTTTATTTATGTCGATCATTTTTCTTCGTCAGAAGACATACCATTCTTTCGTTGCCACAAGCTTCAAGTATCTTTATTATATTATGTGTCACTCGTGAAGTACGCGTCAACTGTATTTTTTTCTTGAAATATTTTATAACCATGATGTTACGTATTTACATTTTCTTAGTAGACAGAAACAGTACACAAAAGCAACTTTGAAGCTTAGTGACATTTCCAATAATAAAAAAGTATCAAAATCTTTGATTTCTTCCATCTTCAAGAGGGTACTAAACTGACACAAATCATTTGAACTAAATTCATTAGTTCATTTTAACAATTCTAATATATTTGAACGAAAATCGCTGCGGACTTTTCGGACAATCTTAATATTAAATATAAAAATTTGTGTTAATTGGACTACTATTAATTTTGTTTCTTATTACTACTAAAATTCTTCGTAATTTATAAGTAATGTAGATAAAATTCGACATTTTTACATATTTTGGAGCTAACAAATAAACTGAAAGAAATGTTATTGTTCATATTAACGATTAAAAGTATTCCTAGTCGGTATGGGTGGATGAGATGTTCTCTGTAGGAATAAATATAATGAGCCTGGGCTTCTGCATAAAATCAATGCGTCTGACCTTCAGGAGTCTCACCCTCCCTTTCTCAGTGTTTAATCCAACTGTTGCTCACGGCGCTCGAATTTCCTTCGCCTGCCGGAAGTTATGCAACAGGTTCAGTTGTAAGATACCAAAGAAACATGGAGCACATAGTAGGAGTAATGATTTAGTCGATCCAGGACCCACCCTGCTAGTGTTCAGAGTCGAGAGAGAAAAAAAAACCTTCATAAACCCTTAAGTTAATTTCCCAAATAGAATTGGATGCTGATGGTTTATTGAAATTGCCGTATCGCATGCTACTGCGCTTTTAAATTATGCACACCCTACAACTCCAAATTAGTCAAATAAAAATAATAAATAGAGGCGAACGAAAGACACGTGTAATAGAGATCGATACCATTTAAGTTTTGCTCTTTACAAATTATTATTTATTGTTGCTCATACTAATATAAAAAGCTTTTATTTATTATAACTATATCCACTTCTTCAGTTAAGTTTCTGTAGAACATGATAATTGGAACTTGACTGTAAGCAATTTTTTTTTTATTGTAAGTATGCATTTTGTGCTTTGAAGATCAGGTGTACGGCTGGAAATTTCCTTCTTTGTTCGCGTAATAAGTTCGGGGGAAGGCTACAAGAAGAATATGATATATAGGGCGGCGTACAAAAAAGAATAAAAAGTAAATTGCCAGAGGAAACAAAAAAAAAATAATAGAAGAAAACTTGCAGTCGCTTTGCGTAATTTTAAACATAAAGGATTGTAATTTTCTCAAATAATTAAATAGGAAACCAAGAACATAGGGTGGCTTATATTAATAAGCCTGTAGGGTGCATTTAGGAGAAGGAATAATAATGAAAAAGTAGTTATTTGTGCCAGCGTAATTACTGAAGCATTTTTCTCGGTCGTGATATTGAATTTTGTAAGCTTGCATGTATTGAGGTTTTCAAAACGAACATGGAGACATAACATTATAGATCTTATTTAGTGTTGTTCTATATTTATTGGAAATTCAATTGAAATTATGGATGAATCGTGATCTTAATGAGAAAATAGACTCACAATATCAAAAACAGTGCTTTTTTTCGTTATATTTTCTGATTTATTGACAAAGTTTTGTAATGTCATTGTATATTTATAAAAAAACACAAATATAATAAATTTTATTTGAAGTTATTACATTTCAACAATATCTTTGATATAAAAGTAAATCTGTATATGCAATAGTAATGTATCATTCGAAACCTCAATTTGATATAAGATAGATTCATTCCTTTTTTACTACATAAGAATCGTTTTGTGATTTTCTTGAAATATTGGTGGAATAACAAAATAAATATTGATAAATGGAATTTATCAAGTTTAATTTTATTTATGATTTGTTTTCATAATGATTTTGTTGTTTAAATGAATTATATTGCTTAGAATGTAGTGCAATGAAGTTAATGGTTTAATACCGACTTAAAGGAAAACGGCGTCTCGAAATAATAGACATATCAACTAGTTATATTGTAAGCAATTTAAGCCCTTATAATCGGCCTAAGGGCGATCGCAAGATAATTATCGAGCAACGGTTCGGAAAAGCTGATCCCCGACGCTGCTGAAAGACTCTTGACGTTATTACCTAATCCTCCAAACCGTGCTCAGAGCAGATTGAATTATACTGTAGCGTGATCAGTTTTGTTTATTATTATTACAAAAGCGTAAAGTGTCATTCAACTAAGTTTACAGACAATTGTAAATGGCTTTAGTTTCTACCTATTAATTGAAAACTGTTCCAACTAAGGCTTTGCATTATATATTTGTGTATTGTGTTCAACATAATTCAAACATCAAATATATTAATATTTCATAAATACATGCATAATTACGCAGTCATGTAATGACTTTGAACATACGGTACTGATTATACCGAGCTTCCAGTATAATCAGTATCCAGCAGCGTTGCTTATTTTAAGAAGTTTAATCAATTCGTGTGAAATTCATAGAGCAAAAATAAAGTGAGAATATGAAAATGTACTGATTATATTTTATTTATTTAAACATTTTAATTAGCCCAATTTATACCAAAGCAAAGTATTTCTAAATATATTTATATAGCTCTAATTATAATAATCTGATATAGGCGAAAAATTTAGAGAAATACATAGGAAAAGTAAAAAAGTTTAGTGTACATAACGTTTGTGTACATAATAATAATTTACATTTTTTTTATTAAGTAATTCTTAAACTTTTTTGCTGTTAAAGATTGTTCATTTATTAAGAATAAATTATAAATAATGGATGTTTATCAATAGTTATAAACCTAAAAATGTTTATTTTATATAATTTTAATAATAATTGTTTAATATTCTAGGAACAATTCATAAATAATATATTGCTCCAGATTAAAATAATAATTTGTATAAATTTAAATGTGTTCCACAAAATTAATAATTAAAATGAATATTCAATATTAATAATTGTCATTATGAAATAAAACACGAAAAGAGAAAAACAAAAATTTCATAATATTGACTATATCATGTTTTGTTGCAATTAATTCGTTGAGCTACGCTTGTTGCTTGCATTTTTTCAGTTTAAAAATTGCGAATCGATAGAACGCAGAGCTCAATGTCAAATTACCAAAAAAAAATCTATCCAGTAAACCGGAAATTATTGCTAGACAGTTGCCAGTTTTACATTTATCAATTTTTAAAGACCAACCTAAAAATAGTGTCCGGTCCGTTATTAACAAGATAACATTTGATGCTCGTACATGACGTTAATTTGATGGTACAAAGAGAAAAGTTCGTTTGAAAACGAACGTTACATAATTTGATAAGTATAATTGCTTTATACTTTTTTTTTATGGAGGAAAATACAATTAGGCAATAGAATAATGTTCGTGTAATATTTTGGTAGGAAATTTAAAACAAATCTAATGATAATTTATTTTATTATAATAATAAAATAAAGTAAATAAATAAAGTGTTAAGATGAAAGTGTTTGTGAATCAGCAGTTTATATTTGGTAATTATTTTACTGAATAATGAAGTTGTTAATATTGATTTGAATTTTATTTTTAATATGATTATTTTCATAAATTTAATGTAAAAAAATGAAGACGTTTATTATTAAAAAATGTATTTAATAAACACATATATTTTCTTTGATAAATTATAAATATTTTTGAATTGTTGCAAACGCTTACCTGTAGTTAAATGATCTAATCCTGCCTCGATCTGATTGTTGTCTTCACTGGGAAGGTATTTTGGAGATCTCACTATACCCATGGTCGAAACATGAGTGCGCGTCGCGACGCTCCGAATAGCAGCGTCCTGAACTTGGCGGTTTGCGTCGTACGCACCCCTGACGTCAGGCCCGACCTAGGATCCGATTGGCCAGGGCCAATGTCGGGTCTAGGTTAAGGATAGTCTATACAAGGTAGATCCCGGATTCGTAGTGGCGACCGGATTGTTCCAGTTATGCGCTTCGGGATACACAAGCTCGCATTCATCCCCATATCCTCGCTACTCCCGTATTAACGCTACTAACGTGCACATTATTCATTATATCATCCCCATCGGCAATCCCATAAATTATTCACAATCCAATATCAACACAAGTAAAGAATATGCACACACACACAAAAAAAAATTGGAAGCTTATTTACATTTAAATTGATTGGCAGTCTATCTGCAGATGTTACCTTTTATATATTCGATGACGCAAAAAGAAAAACGTGATCCAACGGATATTGGATATTAATTGCTTTTGCAGCACCGTCTAAAAATATTCATAAGTCTAGACGAAACTTCTGGTTTTAAATTTGACATATTATCTTAAATCTGTACATTATACACAATTTTTAATTAATTATATTTCATTTTTTCTTCAAAAATTTATAATCACCCTAATTTTAACATTATTAAGTTTGTATAAAAGGTATGAAACGTTTAAAACAATACTATTTAACAATTTATCTTCATAAATTCTAGAATATGATCATATTTTTCTGAATGGTTATCTGATTACTCGTGTCCGAAAAGTCAGCTCTTCGCACCTTCACCAAAATAGATATAATCTATATTCAAAGTATAACACCGAACATTCTAATCCGCATATTCAAAGGAGTTCTCATATTATCTCCCTCACTTAGTTATGTGTACTATAAATCCCCAATATTCTTGCTACTTCTAATATATTCTAATACATCAAGTTTTTTTTTAAATAAATCTTTATTTGCTTTCTTTTTCATTTATATTATGTTTGAGTAGTTTATAATAAGTATCGAACTTTAATACAGTAACATGGATAGAAATTGTGACCAATAATTGCTTATTTTAGCACATGAAATGAAGAAAAACGACAAATTTATGTGATGTTGCCGGAAATAGTTACCTAGTGATGTTGCATTAATTAGAAAGACAAATCTAGTTAATTAGACTTTTGTTTCATTTTTTTTGTCTAAAAATAATGTATGTTTCTTATGAGTATTATTAGGAAAGTAAAAGGAAACAGAAAAAAAACTTATAATGTAATAATAACTGAATGTTATGTAGAAATATTAAATTTGTTAAATACGGTAGTGTTGGAAATTAGCGGAGAATCTTAAACTATGCATATTACAGTTTATTGTCGTTTTTCTTTTTGGTTAAACTACGACGCGTTGCACGGCTCAGTGGGAAACTTAATTGCTTGGAAGATACAAAATGTACATAAGGGAAATTGAATCTTATAATGAAACTATTAGAATGTTTTAATAAATTCCAACACTATTCAATCAAAGATTGAATCATTTATGTAATGAATTCTGCTGGTGAACAATATTAAAAGCAACAGTTTATTAATTATACATTACGCAGGTTTTGAATCTTTCAATTTTAGATTAATTATGATAAGTCAAGTTGACAGGTTAAGTTAATTAATTAAGAAAACATATACAGAAATAAAAAGTACAAAATAAATATATATAATTTCAAAAAAAGTCAACTGATACAAAGGGCTATTGACTATAGGTCATTAAGTTTTATTTTAGTCATATTATTGCGTATTTGTTTATAATTTCTTGGAAACACTCTTGATTTAATAATTATTCATTATTAATTTGGGTCTATATCGCAAGCCCGACAACCGAAAGACCGTCTATTGAAATCCCGACTGTATCGAAATCCTGAGTATATCAAAATTTTGTCAACCATAATCCCGACTGTATCAGAATCTCGACAACCATCATCCCGACTATATCGAAAATTTTTTACAATAACATTTTTAAATTATTTCGGAGCGTGCTACATTTTTATTATTAATAACAATAAATTATTAATAATTAACTTGATTTTGTTGAATTATTCATAATAAACCTTAACATTATGAAATAAACTCAAATACAATCAGATTATTAATTGTTATTATTTATTATTAATAACAATTTAAAAGTCACTACGTTCCGGAATAATTTAAAAATGTTATTGTAGACATTTTTGATATAGTCGAGATTTTGATACAGTCGCTATTATGTTTGTCGGGATTTTGATACAGTCAGGATTTCAAACGTTGGGAATTTGATCGACGGTATTTCGGTTGTCGGGCTTGCGATTGCCATCGTATTAATGCATATACCCGGCGCATCCACATCTATAATTTCAGCTGCTTTTTTAATTCTTAACATTTTTTTTCTTCCATTGGTTTAAATTATTGGATTATACCTAAATTATACACTTTTATAAATTCACTAGGTTCCGTTTAAAAAAAAACACTTGTTAATCAATCTTATTTTTATACAAATCTTATGCATATTTAAATGCTTGATTTTGGAAAATTCCATATTTATAAGATTTATTTATTTTGCATTCTCATTGTTGATATTCCGTTCATAATAATCTCGGGAATTGAAACGTAAATTCCAGTAGTCGGGATTATAATTTGACAGGAATTGAATCCCAATCTACTTAGCTAATGAAATCTATATAGATTTTCTAAAAGTTTTTAATAAAATCAATAATAATCGTATACATGTGTTTATTCTACTTCACACTATTTTATATGTAATTAATTAGATTTAAGTACAAAGCTTATTACGGAAATGAATTGTGCAAAAGGCGAACGGTAATAAAAATTGTATGGGATGTTAAATATTTACTCAATTAATTTTTCGTCGCCTGCTATGTCCGCCAAGAGTTCTTATAATAATAATAATGATTACGTTTCAAAGTTCCTTTGTGCACGAACTGTTAATTAGGAGCGGGAGAACTTTTGTGCAGATATTAATATTTCAGCAGACATAAAACGGCTTCGCTTAGCGAAAGCCCAGGTCGATAACCCCCAACGCATTTAATTATTAAAAGCCAACACACGGAGAAAGGCGTGTTTTTACGATTGTAGACAACGTTTCTGTTTTGAAATATCTGAAATTAAACTTTTTGGAATTTATAATATCCTGAAAAGGGGTCTATATCGCAAGCCCGACAACCGAAATACCGTCTATCGAAATCCCGATGTTCGAAATCCCGACTGTATCGAAAATTTTTAAAATAACATTTTTAAATTATTTCGGAGCGTAGTAACCTTGTGCTACATTTTTATTTTTAATAACAATAAATTATTATTAATTTATTTGATTTTGTTGAATTATTCATAATAAACCTTAACATTATAAAATAATCTCAAATACAATTAGATTATTAATTGTTATTATTTATAATTAACAATTTAAAAGTCACTACACTCCAAAATGATTTAAAAATGTTATTGTAGACATTTTCGATATAGTCGAGATTTTGATACAGTCGGGATTATGGTTGTCGGGATTTCGAACGTCGAAAATTTGATTGACGGTATTTCTGTTGTCGGGCTTGCGATTGCCTGAAAAGCACTGCTAATATATTAACTTATGATATTGATTGTTTGTAATATAAAATAATTTGTAACAATTTGTTCCTAAATTTACTTTACAGACTTTTTTATGAAAGTTATTTATAACGCGGAAACTCACTTTAAAATGTTAGACATGTTGTTAATACACATGGTTTTTTTTGTTCATTGGAATTTAAATTACCCTTAGGTTATTAATTTTTGGAGCGTGTATAATATGAGATAAAAATAGAAGTTTAATATGTTGGAGGTTTATACACAAGGAATGAATAAATTGTAGGAATCATCAAGTTTGTTATTTTTTTTTTGAGAGAGAGAACCGTGGAGTATGGAAACACGGTTTCACTGGTCTCTTGGTTCATTTTCATTATATTACAGTCGTAAAATTCATGAGCTTAAAGGGTTAATTAATTTATTGCATGTGGAAATCTTGATCGCGTCTTTCACACAAATTAAATTTGCCATTGAAAATAAAGTATTAACACAAAACAAAAAACATTTTAATTCATATTATTTTATTTTTATTCTTCAGAAAGTGCAATATTGTTTTTTCTTTCTTTTCTTCAACTTCTCATCCTAAACACGGGAAAGAGAATTGTTTTGTGTTGTGTAACTTTTGGATTCCTTGTGTCACCGTGGACGAATTATGAGTTGGTAAACTTTCTTCAGCGAATCGATATTTCCAGGGGATTCGCCACTTAATAATTCTTGGCGGTTTCCGCACCAAACCTCTCGCTTCGATTTATAACAATCGTCCTTGGCCAGGATATAAAGATACATCGATGTAAACTTTTCATTTTCTCTTCCCTACTTCTTATCAGTCACTTTCATTAATTCCATTTATCAACTTCGATTAATCGTGATAATCAATAGTTTTATTAATATCAACTTTTTAATAAATATCTGTCAGACACATTTGTTATCTGATAGAGAATAAAATTTCAGTGAATACCGAAAAACTACTTAAGACTAATTGAGTTTAACTAGATGGCATAACTAGTGTTCACACATAATTTTCACATTTTAAAGACTCATATGAAAGCTCGATGTTTGAGGAATGTGGCGAATGTGCTGTAATTCGCGTTCAAATTATAAACATGAATAATTTAGGTTTTTTCACATTTTCTCGGAAACTATAACAGATTGAATAGATTCAAAAGATGCATATGAAAACTGAATGATTGGACATTTCGAAGACTTGCATCATACTTAGAAAATCTACTTACTTTGTTTGCAATTTGGCTTTAAAATGATGCAAGTTTGTAAAATCTAGTTACACCTTTTCTAGTTGTATTATAAACTGGTATAATAATAATAGGTTTTGTATAATAAATTATATAATTACTTCATTAATATATGTTTCTGATGATGATTCTTTAATTTTCAAATCCTCATTGGTTATGTTATTGCATACATAAAAATGTACTAATGTGCAATCAGTACTCGTCGGAGATCTTTAGGATTTAACTTGAAATAAGGACTAACACAGATACTTTTGTATCTTTAACTTGACAGTAAGAATACGATCTCAACGCAATATCCGAGCACTTTCTTTATATTTGTCCTTTTTTTGTTGGAGCAAAAAGGTACAATAAGAGCATATTAGTTTAGTCTAGTCGCAGGCTGATGGACTGGCACATTTTTATAGAGTTTGCAAACGATGTCATCGCGTGTTTGTATCTTCAGTTCACGGCAATAAAAGCGCATAACTTGAACAAAGCACGAGACGTATTACGAAAAACTGTATAAAGAAGATTAATCATTGACAATTTTTTTTTAACTATAAAAAGGGAATACACTAAAATTCATATACAAAAAAAAGTATTTCGTTTTACATGTTAAGGATGTAAATGAAAGTTAATTAATTAATTAATATCATATTTATTTTACTTTTTTTTTTGTAATTTCAATAAAAATACATCAATTCAATAATATTAAATTTGCAATAATATCTGAAAATAAAAATAGATTTATATATATATGTAAATATATAGAAAAAGAAATAATGAAACAATATAAATTGTTGAAATTAATAGAATAATAATTTAAAACAAATATGAACAAATAAATGACTTGTTTAATCTCTCTATTTATATATTTATTTATGTGTATGCTTAAATTAAGGTTTCTATTACTTTTAGTCGATCCCTCAGAGATAAACCATGTACCTAAAACTACACACGTTCGTTAAAAAATATTTACAAAATACAGAATTTTAATATATAGAAAAAAAAAATGATAGATAGAAGAAATATATGTAATCTATAATTTAAATGTCCACTGCACTCTCCTTTCGATTGTCTTCTCTTCCCCTCCTTGAGCAACTAATATATTACTTCCATGAATCTCTTCGACTTGTTTTCCGTTCAAGAACAAGAGCTGCACTTGACGAGACCGACTTCGTCGCAATTCATGCACTTGAGCGCCACGAATTCCGCGGTGAAATGATTCCTATGCAACGACTTCTTGCTGCCGTTGCAGACTGGACAAGGAAGTAGACGAAAGCCGCCGCACGATTTACACGTTGTACAGGCATCCATACTCTAGAAACAGAATCACAAAATATATTATTAATAGCATAAAAGAATCATAGATATATTAGTCTAGGTTGTTCTATCATTATTGATCATCAAGCAAAAGTCAATATTCAAATGTAATACTCTGACCTTTTCATCTTTATAATTTACATAATTTTATTGTAGATCACTACTCAAGGATGATGAAATTTAGTTAAAACAGTAATGTAATAGTGTTATAGTTTAAATTCGGATTTTGCATTGAGAATGGTTTAATATTTCATGTAATAATATAAATTGTAAGTATATATTTGACCAAGTAAATTTGTCGACAATTTTACAAATAGAAGGGACAACATACTGGACAGCATATTGCGCTGGCGCTTGGCCATGTCAAGAAATTTATTGAAAACGTTTATATAGTTTGTGGTGTTACACGAAATACATTTCAGTAAACAATTGTATAATAAATTTAAAAAAACACATAAACTTAACTCTTGGTGGTGGTAAACTTTTGAACATGAACATATAATTTCCTAGAAAATGCCGAGGAAATAGAAATTACCCTTTAATTTGGGATGAATTTTGATAGTCCATACCATCCGAAGTATGATTCAGTTCTCTAGAAATTTGCAATTTTCTAGCTCCAAATAAACTCATTTCTACAGAATTAACATGATAAGATTATCCATAAACTTATTTCATTTATTTATATTTTGATATAATATAATAAATTTAAAAACTACAAATAAAAGAGTATACAAATACAATACTTGTTTTTAATGAGTTAGTAGCTAATTAAAATTAATGCGACTCGATACAATTTAATCCCCATCAGTTGAGCGATTTTAATTTCGACAGCCGAAAATCATGATGGAGGCAAAATTTAATTGTCGAACTTTCGTCGTGCAAATATTTAACAGCGGGTCCTTTTACTACATATTAAAACAAAGACATCTAGGATAAACATTTTATGTTATCCCAGACGGCGGACCACTTGAAACCCCTCTCCTTCACTCTTTTGCTCCTTCACTCTTGTCTGCACTTTTTACTTATATATTTATGTACATATATATTATTTAATTCGTGCAGACCATTTATGAAAATCATATTAAACGTTTCAACTCATCAAACAATCATATTGGTTACACCAGCCCTTTCTTGTTTTGAATAAACATTGACATTGCTCAACATGCAAAGTTCACCGGCCCTGGAAACGACGGATAAACATCTAAATACAATCAAAACAGATGATTGGATTAATTTTACACATTTGCAATTGTTAGTAGAAAAATACACATTTAATTAATGTTGAAGAGAAAAAAATATAGTTCTTTTCGTTACATGCATTGAAGTGTGCGTTTAAATTAATTGAAAATCTCGTTAAAGTCCATGTTCGTGTAAACTAAACACTCTAATTCATGCAATTAGCAGGACATTGATTATTTGTTAACGTTAATTATGTATGAGTTAGTGTAATTTACTATTAGCCACTATAATTAAATTTTATTTGAAAATAATTGTAAATTAAACGGGGCTTGTCAGAGGCAACGTTAACCGAGGTATGACTGTATACGAGAGTCTATATTAAAATAATTAGTAAATAAAGTTAGTATAATACAAATAAGGATTGCAGCTGTGCCAAAATAAGACGATTTTTAAAATAATCGTTGCAATCCATAAGGGCATGAATGTAGATTGTATTTTAAGATAAAATTATCTATATTGTATTATCATGTAAATAAATAATTTAAAACTTAATTAATTAAAAATTAACACAAAATATATAAGTCTACGATCGATTTAATAAAATATTTTCATGAAAAAAATATAACTTTAAAAGAACGTTTAAATTGGAATTAAAATATAAAAGGCTTTAGTTTTACGAACTTCGCATATGGATTTGAGTACTTTACCAACGTATACTTGAAGCTCAACAGCTCAAAATGCCGCTCAGCCTGTTGAATCGCAGTCGGCCTTATTGGCACTTATCCAAATGGGATCTCTCTTATCTCCTTCACTCTCATCTGCATGTTCAACGTTCGCTACACCAAAAGGTGAGTCACCAAAACACGGCGTGTTAAATAGAAGCGGATTTAAAAAAAAAGCACTTTTACACTTTTAAAATTAAATTCCTTAAATGTGGGAAAGCTCGAAAGACTGAGAGAGTCCTTACTTTTATTTAAACCTCGATTCAGTTTAAAAAAAATAAATCCTTAAGCTTCACATTTCATAATTGATAAAGCAATTTCTGTTAAAAAGTTTTGTTTTTTTTGAGAATAATTCAATGTTCCTCTTTAGTTTTTATATACATTTTTTATTAATATGTAAAATGTAGTCAAGTGAACTTATTTAATGAAGAAGATTTGAGGATCTGGAAGAGTGATGCAAAAACGTAAAACTATAACAACAACGGTGGATGTAGAGTATTTTCAGTTGTTTAGTTTTTCTTTTTCCTTTAAGATATTATAATTTTTAAATGTGGTTTCATGAGTAAAAGTAAATAAGTAGATTAAATAGCATCTCTCACCTTGTAAGGTTTTAATATCCTACGCAACTCGCCGGTCTCGTTCAACCTCTCTATAGTTTCAGCATCCTGTAAACAAAAAAAATATAGTTTCATTTAAATATATTATATTTTGCGAGATAATCTAATAGGAAAATGGAATAGAAAGGATATGTAATGTACGCGCGAAAATAGCACAGTATTATATGGACTTTTGTTCTTTGTCCCTTGATAAATGATGCATGTTTTCTGAGAGTGATGAAACTGGAAGTGCTTTCACCATTTCCTTCCCATATATACTGTGTATCATACAGTCACATAATACTTTCATGCAAATATGTAACTTTTCTACAGTCATATTTAAAGTTAGATTAATTAAAATAAATCATTAATATTTCATTATTAAATTTTGTGTGTTGCCATGTGTGTATATCATTAATATTTAGAATTGAATACAACTACTTCTACATAAGTTAAATTTCTAAAGAAATCAGTAGTAAATTTCGTAAAAAGGAATTTCCTATTACCATCTGCGCAGTTAATAGAAAATTGGGAATATTGAATGTGATTTAATTATACATATTGTCAGGTGGTAATCCAGGTACAAAGTTAATTCAATTCCATTTGCACGCAAATACTTATATAAATAGAGACGATTGCGGCCGGCGCCAAACTAAAATCGTGCATGCAAACGAATTCTAACGACAATTTGTCTAAATTAGCGTTCCATTATAATTCTTTTCGTATAACAGAAAAAAAAACGAAATAACACAATGTTATTTATATTAATGTTTCGAGCAGAAAATATGTAATATTTCTGGCCAAGGGTAATTTCCCTATATATATATTTATTGATACTAACATGAAAGTAATGAGATCTTGTATAATGTGTTATGGCATTACATTAAAGACGACCTCTTTCTATGTCCTAGTGACCACATAACATGCTCGGCGTTTGTTTCTCTTTTCTTAATGTCGTCGATCGCGTAGGCAACTCAATTACTCGCTGATGCCTCTACTACATTCTTCGTCTTGCTTCCATATAACCGCCCTTCGTGTTACATTTTCATTTTCCGCTACACAATTTCAGGTTTGGAATCTTTCAATTTATAAGTAATTACGTTGCTGAAAAAAACGACCGCGCAAAAGCTTGGATAGAATTAAATTTTAATTAAACTATTCACTTTTAATAAATCTTTAATTATTCAATCAATTACTTTAAACATTTAATCTTTGTGTTTAAATAAACAAGAAAGTAAAGAGTGTTGAACAATAAATTAAAAAGTATAATTAAAGTAATATAAGTATTCTCTCCAGGTTTTAATTAACGAGAAATAAAAATATAATGTACCTTTGTTTTCTCAAATACAAAAGACATTTGCATGTATGACACGTGCGGCAAAAAACGAGCATCCCCGATGACACTTTAAATGTAAATCTTTTATATAAAAAAAAATGAATAGCCGAGAACTCCACCGCTTGTTTACTTCAGTTTTTTGTTATTGTTTTCGTTGCTGCTGTTATTTTGTCTCTCAGTCTCACTCACATATATAGACACTCTGTTTCCGTCTCTTAATATTAAGCAAACAATTCCACAATTTTTGTACACAGCTTTTTTCACCCCTCGGCGCATAAGTTTATGAACTTAATTGAAAGCAGTCTCGTTCTCTCGATTTTTTTTTTGCTTAGATAGAAATCTTCAGTTGCTCCGATGGCAGAGCTTTATGAAGACAAAAGAAGTCGACGAGATGAAGAAAACATTGTCATGTCGGATTATCGCCCTTCAAATGAGAAGTTAACGAACGAATTATAATTAAAAATGTTTTTTATTTCTATGCATTTTTCAGATTAATATCCAATTAAAATTGATTAGTTTTTTTTTTAATAATTGATGTTAATTAAGTGCTTTAGATGGGTTTGTAAGAAAAGCTTTAATTCATCCATTAGAGGAGTATATCTAAGAGGGATTAACAATGAGTGTAATAGATGAGGTTTCTGCTTAGATTCACCTACCTGAGGGCAAGCTCAAGTTTTTCTTGACTCACGTGCTCATGAACATCTATCATTGTGATGTGATAAGGCAAATACATTTTTGTTGGAAAGAAAGGTAGACGCGTAGGATAAAGTTAATGTGCTCACTTTATATCAATAACAAAGACTTGCAGAAAAATTCTGGCGCATAACTTTTATAAATCACATTCAATTTAAGAAATGATCAATAGTTCTTAATAATTATAAAATAAAATAATTATATATAAACATGTGCATTTAGTCTACAAAGTTGGAGGCTTAATTGGTCTGAAAATTTTGTGTTCATTAATGCAGAGGTCGTTGAATTGCTGCGCCGCTTGATAATACCAATACTTTCTAACGCTGTTTTTAATGAACTTGAACCTGAGCCTCTTTCAAGGCCGCATTTATTATTACGTACATCGATTAATAATTGATTTGTTTACAAAAAGCTTCTAAGCGGATTTACCTTCTGCTTTTTTTTTGTATTATTATTAAGCACTCTTCATATGTAATGGAAAGGCGAGAACCGTATTTTTATGTTAATTGAATGTTTTAAAATATTACATTTTTCGTGTTGAAGTGTGATGTTTCATTCCAATTTTTTTTTTGTCAGAAAAGACCTGTTTCTGTTATGTAATATAATAACTGCATGTGAACTGTTCCATTATGCGAAGCTACCTCGATCGATAGAGCTAGTCGCTAATGTAAACACACATACTGTTCGAGAGGTATCCATCCATTTTACGTTATCGTCGACGTGAATTATAAACTGAAATCAGGTTTACTTGTGGAACAAAGCTCAATACATCACCTACCGAAGACTCAGTTTCCTTCTTATCCTTGGCTGTCTGGTTGTTTGTTTTTTTGTTGTTGTTGTATATGTAGAGCTATAAGGAGAAGCAATTAGGATATGGTGTGGTCCTTAGCGTGTACATGAAATAGTTTGGAAATTCTGCTTTGTAGTATTTATGTGGGGAAGGGCGAGATGAAATCGCGCACCCGAATCCAGAATCTCGCCCAGCTTCATCCCTTTAGTAAGGGATGGGCGTGGAATGTCTGGCTTCAGGTCACTGTCCCGACGCAAAAACGGGTGGAGCAATGTCTGCACACGAACTGGAAGACACTAAATTTGCTACAGCTTAATACGCCGAATTCCGTACAATATTTCTTGTAGCAACACTTATCCACATGCTTATTTATAAAATTTAATAATAAGTCTACTTGCTACTTTTCTTTTGAGTTGCAATCAAATATTCAACATGTTTGCTTATCAAGTTCAACAACTGACCTTTCAAAATAGACACAACTCAAATACTTTATTCTCGACTAACATAAATTAATCCTCTCCAGCCCAGTGATTCCATTAATTTTTAAATTCGATTTTGTCTTTCTACAATTAAAACTGTTGGAAGCAACTAAAGTGAAATGAAGCTAGATGTATTATTAACAATAGGTAATATTGAATAATGAAAAAAAAAACAGGTAAAATGTGTTTTTATGAGTAAAGAAGTGCTGTTATAAAGATTTGAATAAAACATTACCTCTTTTACAATTCCATAATTATCAAATTTTCTGATATAACTTTCGTAGGCATACAAAAATAATTGTTGAAAATTAATTTGTATTGTCGCATTTATATTTTGAAAGGCGATATCTAATGAAAAGAAAATATAAAAGAAATAATTTACTTTTCTATTCAGTTGAGATGCTGTGTTGATGACACTCACTATCTAATTTAACGAAGAGAATGTTACAGTACATAAAAAGCAATTTCCGGTGGATCTCTTTCACTTTATAAACTACATTGTTTCATACTAATTTCATCTTTTGAATTACATCATTTGATATAGTTGTCTTCGTGTTATACGAAACACAAGAAAGATTTTATGTCAACACTTATTAGAATAATTAATTTATTTAGTAATATTTAAAATTGGACCGTAAACTATTTCAATTAAACTAGATATGGAAACGATTTTATCAATGTAATGAAAGAAAATACAGATTTGAAATTAAATTGAATTAGATAATATTAAAAAAATCAATATGTTTAGATGGTCCAAATTAGGAAACTTTCCTTAAACCAAGTATTTTTTTTATGTTAAAGAGCAAAAGAAAACCTCAGAAATTTTAAAATGTTTTATAGTGTTGTTAAGTGAGAACAAACAAACTCGACCTCTTAGTTATTATTCATTTAACAAATATTGCTGTGTATTTATCTGGACTTTCGATCACTTTCTAAGAAAACGTGATGTTATGTGAAAAACAATATAATAAAATTTAGCTTCTAAAATGTTACTGAATTTTTCGTTAAAGAATGAAATTGTAAAAATGAATACCAGGGCGTCGTTAAATTGACAAAAAAAAAACGTATTTTGTAAAAGAAAAGGTTGGTGTTAATTAACTCATTAGTTGGGCTAGAAGTAACAAGCTTAAAAGAAACAGAACAATACTAGTCATTGTTGGTAATTGTAACGTTGACAAAGCAAAAAAAAAATATACTATTGGAAGCAAGCACAATGGTTTCATCTTTTAATTTGTAACATTTTCTATCCTCTACGATTCGAGAAATTCCGTAACTATTGTTAGTAGCTGTACGTCGATATAAGCAGCAGTAATTTCAGTTTAGTGACCGCAAAAAATATGCCTGCTTATTTATATATTTTTTTTGTTCTTTCTGTATGTCTTTCCATGCATACGAAAATTTTCAATCGATACGTTGTACAATTAGAAAGCCCCTTATTTATTTTGATTGTGCAGCATTGAAAGACTCCAATGAAATCCAGGTCGACCATCTAGGTCGTGTTTTTATTTACTCCAAGCAGACTTTATTTATAAAATTTTTATTTCCTTCCAATTCCAATCACGACCATAAATATCGGAGGCGTTGTTATGTATGTGTACGAATAATGGCTGTGTGAGCGCGCGCATTTTTTTTCCTGTTCTTTGTACTCGAGTCATCTCTGCAGAATTTAATTGAATTTTTAATACGAAGCATCCCAGAATTGATCGATATTTACGTAATTCGACTACTATAGAAGTGCGGACGTATTCTAGAAATTCCTGACAGACTTGTTCTACGAAATTGTTTCTGAATTGCAGTTTCGATGAATCAGACAACTTTCTAACGAGAAAACTTACAATTATACAGTTTTAATCACATGTTAAACCCTCACTTTACATTATTTTTCAAAAATAAATTGATTGATATAAAGAATCTGCAATATTATAGAAATATTATATAAGACTATAATACTATATAATTCAATATACGAAATTAAATGAAACAACAAAAATAATTATAATTTGAGGCCTTTGGTCATAATTTTTACCAATAATAAACATGTTAAATTATAATTTAAATTTGTCATATGAACGATAAATCAATTGCGCTTTGCATTTCAGTTATCTCTGATTCAATTATATTTTTTTAATTATACACATACACAAAACTGACGGTCACAATGAAAACTGGCCCCCGGGAAAGTGCGGGATTACATTAAAATAATATTTATATGCATTAACCCAGCCCTTGGGGTATAATGCAACCGTGAATTCGAAACAAATATGCATATATAAATCACATATATAAAATATCCATTATTCTATTATAAACTAGTTGTGTGTTTTGTGCATGGTACAAAATTATGAAGAAAAAGTTTGAGTTTAAGAAAAGGTGAGAATATTTGAGAATTCCGTCCGCTTTTGTAGTAGTTTCAAAATAGTTTATGAGTAACTTTGGTGCCGGTATGTGAAGGGTTCAGCAAGTGCGGATGAACTTGACTCTACAATGCTCTTGGCTGAAACGGTGGTTTCCCTTAATGATTAGTATTCAATTAATTAACGTCTTTCAAACACGTTGTTTGTATTTATATTTGTGACGGCTAAAGTTTCAATTTAGTTTATAAACTAATTATATTATTTACAAACTAATTTTATCGATTTGGAAATAAAATTAAATTGGATGAACTTCGATTTGAGATTAAGATTGAGAAAAGACATTATCTGAGAGAATCATCCTTAAAGCGACATGGAAAACGTATTGTTCGGGTCCTCTATCTTTGCAAAGTTTGTTTGTTGTTTCTTGCAGTGCACATCTGTTGCTGGTATTATCGGTTCTACTAAATCATACAGTCTGCACCACTCCAATTTATGGTGGAAAGTCGTCGTGGGGGTGGTGAGGTAATGGGTTGGGATGTTTTGAAGTTCTCTGGTATTGTGAGGGCGGCAGAGAGCGTAAGAAGTGAGCGCGAGCGAGGGTGCACGCGTAAGGTCAAGGACGATTGATCCAATCCAAATGCCCAGCGTTTTGTATTTGCCTTTAAGGTTAGGTAATCGATAGAAGCGCGCGGTGCATGCAACAACCCGCCACCATCCGCCGTCCTCCCGTCACGGCTAAATTATCAACCAAACTTATAATTGTTTACAAACAACGCCAATTATGCAAACTAAACGCTGCTCTAATGCATACCCCCATATCATTTACTTATTAAAATTTACTTAAATTTATTGTAAAGGCGAACATGTTATTTTCGTAAGTAAATATCTATAAAATTCAGTGGGCCTTGAACTTCATACAATCTTTTCCAGGTGAATATGTACAAATAAAGTAGAAAATAATTGAAATTGAATAAGAAATTTGAATTTATGCTACTTTGGATACTGCAATAATACTTTGTAAAAGATGGATTAACAGTGATCATATTTTCTATGTTACTCCAAATGCGTAGTCGTATTTTAGATGTAAATGACCGAAAACTAGATGTGCGTCGTATAATAGACGAAGTATTTAGTTACATCACTCTTTTAAGAGCAGAACACCATAATCAGGTCACGGAACAGAGTATTCTTTTCCGCAATATGACAATGTTATAAGTGCTCTTCCATTGTGTTATATAATCGGTCTTACTCGAAGTCATTAAACCTAATATATTTAAGAAGTTTGAAATGAAAATATATCAATAATTTTGCTCCGATTCTATTAAAATCCATAACATATTTGACTGAGATGTTATATAAATAATTTGTGTATTTATTAAAGAAAAAATTAGTGTTAGAAACTAAATGAATGTAATTGAATGAATGTTAATAGTTAGAGAATTAAATATTGGAAATTGTTAATAAAAGAGAAAAGATGAATTGCATCAGTTTAAAGATGCGTATAAGGAGATATTTACGAAAGTGAAAATCAACAATTTACAACACCAAATTCGTGTTCAGAAATGTGTAATTTCAATGGGAACGTGTTGATCTTAGTGTGCTTAAGGGATTTCGCGAAGTGTCGAAAATAATATTTACATTATAAATTAGGCTGAGTGTGGATCTGGGGATAAGTGATGGTGGATTTAGGTGCAGGTTTATCTTCTTTTTTTTCGTTAGTCCAAACAAAAACTCACCCCGATGTGTTGGCCATCGACGAACACCTGTGGCACCAAAATGTGATCGCAACGCATGCGGTCTCTAATTTCTGCCTGGTATTCCGTGCTCATGAACACATCCCTTTCCTCGAATTTCACGAGCAGCGTTCTCATGATTTGTTTTACCTTCATGCAGGCATGGTGCGTCTCCCTCACTATACCCATTGTTGTCGCATAAACGACCACTTTCCCGGCATCCTTCTCTTTGTAACTCTGAAACAAGCGAATGCAACAATTATATTATTGTTCCTATAAAATGCCCGACAATGCTACCACATCCAAAATACTTGGTAACCATTGAATTCGAGATGAATACTCGAGAGAATATCCCTTTTGTTTTTCTCTCTCTTTCCCGACGATGCGATTTACTGAGTGGCGGATTAGTGAGGCGTGAAAGAATTATGTACCTGAATTAAATATAGACAGGGAATAGATCCATCTGCGCAATAAATCAGTATTAATCGTGTTCTGTTGGGACCGACGCACAGACAGAATTATTCTGTCTGGTTTGTCATACACCATCAATCCATGTGGTCCTAACTTTCTGTTTTTTACACGACTTTCAAAACCTTTAAGCTTCATCAATAACTACGCTCAAAAGTTTTTAATCCTTCTTGTTCAAATATTATTATCTGTCTGCTCACAACAATTCGCATTTTCTCAACGTAATTATAATTTTACAAACCTATTTTTTACGGAATATTCATATTATATAATTCACATTTAAAAACTAATAGTAGGAGTTTTGATATAAAAGTATAGAGTAATTAATGATGAAATCAATACGATCAGTCAGTTGGAATGCTGTTACACGCGTAGCGGTTTAATGTAACAATATTTACCATGAAATTTAATATGTTTCAATTACGAGCTAATAACAGTAATTGTCGCTGTTTATTAATTGCGAAGCAAGAGCGCGGAATCAAGTTTTTAATTAAATTTATGAAAACTGTTATTGCTGCAACGGAAATAAACACACGTGATGGCGGCACACAATAAAACGTCACGGGGGATTATGCTGTGTGTGTGTGCAAAACGCAAATACGAAACATCGCTGAAAATGTTGCTGTTGACCTAAATGACACGTTCCCGGTGTTACCCAAAAATAACGCAAATCCCAATTGTTTGAACTGTGCATTTCTCATATTTTTGCACCTTCGCTGTAAATTCACGGGGATTTGCGTACGTCGTTTGGAAGCGTTACATCTTGTTTTCGTGCTGCAGGTAAATGATTTGTTTTATAGAAATGGCATGCACCATTCGTGGGAATGCAACGAGTGTATCATTATGGACAGAAAACAGTGTTGCAATCAGTTAAAGTAACCTTGCTTCAAAATGTTACCTGAGCTATTCGCGTCGAGATCGGATAAAATTTTAAGGATTTATTGCCATTCCGGCATAAAACCGTATTTATTATAATGCGTGATATGCATCAAACTTGCTTTATATAATAAAGCACATGTATGAGCGACGAGAACAATGTTATTGTGTGTATGCCTAATACAATGACCTGTTATTATATGCGCATTTATTGCTGAGATAAAGTCCGTTTCTATTATTTCTTATCAACTGAATATTTATATTTACGTTTGCGGACATTCAAATTGGATGCAATATGTAATAAAAATGGGGTAATAAATTTGTTGTTGAAAAAAAATAAATCAATATCTGACCCGGATTTGTGTGCATAATAATAATAATAATACGTTTGTCCACTTTTTATCAGTCTTTGTCACGCGGGCGTCGCAGTTTCGGATAAATGTCCCTGTCCCCTCTTCGCAGCTCGGTCATTTGTCAATTTATCAACAGCTGTCGTAACTGTGCTCCATCCTCGAGGATGGATTCCGCTGAGAGGCATTTCAATTCATATCCTGACCCCACATCAAAATTTGACCTACACTTTTTAATTAACCAATTTGATACCTTTTTACGGTTAGATGATCAAATTACAAAATAAACAAACTGTCATATTATCAACTTTCATCATCCAATATCTTTTTTTTTATAATTAAAAAAAAAATAAAATCGAAATTGAAAAATTTACTTTTATTATACAAAGAGCTTCGATTATTCAAGAATGTTTTTTTTTTGTTCTCCGTCACCGTTATAATCCGCAACAATGCTCTGATCCGTAGTTTTGCATTGCAAATTCGATCACGTCGCGTGGATATTATCTATGCTACTAATTCTAATCCATACGTTCAATTAGTAAAAAAATTAGTAGACTCGCTGGGGAAATTAAGGTAAACAGTAATAAGAGGGATGCTGCGCGCCGAAATGCAAATGACATGCGACCGTTTTACATGAATACCAAGTGCGAAATGCAAGTTTCATCGATCGTACTGCTTAGGAATAGACAACACCAATTTACAACGTATCATTTTCTGGTTTAAAATTATACTAGTACATGAATCATAAATTTACTTTTAATAAATAAACATATGTCGTGTCCCAGGGATGGTTTTCAGGACACTGTGGGATATCTTCTTCTGTTGCTGTTGTGGCGTCTCAGTTGTTGGGAATTTAATGAAATTTGTTTGGTTTTACATAACTTTATTTGTTACTGATTTAAGATTCATCTAAACCAGCGGTCGGGGAATTTTTTTAACCATAACCCCAAAATATTATTGCGTAAGTCGATATTACCCCCCCCAATCTTGAATTCATGAAACAATTAATGTAAATTTTAAATAAACATTATTTTTTGAATTAATTTACATTTACATATTTATAAAAAAAAGTTACATGAAAATAGTAACAAATAGTAATAGATAAACAAAATAAAATTCTTAAATTGGTACAAACAAAAATTAATTGAAAACTTTCCCCCTTCAGGTTTTGGAAATATGATGTTGCTTCTTGTTTGATATAATTACTTTAAAATTGGGACTTTTTG